TAAAATTTGTAATTTTGATATAATTTGCTCTAAATCAGAAATTAAAAGCCGCAATCTCGGTCTATTTCATTATAATATTAAGAAAGAGTGTTGTGATAATAAATACGTTGTCAAGATGAGTGAGTTGCGAAGATATTTGTTTCGTATCTCAGTGAACTCTCAGCGAGCTTTAAGGAACCGTTTGCGAAGCAAAAGAAAATTGTTGCGAGAATCCACGGATCCCTTCTGTATTTCAGAGGAACGGTTCACTGAAATTTTTCGACTTCCAAAAGAAATATGTAGAAATGTTTTTAATGAAATCCGCCCCTTTATGTTGCAAAGGATATCAAGTTGTGGATTGTCGAAAGTTTTAAGGTTCCTTGTAGCATTGCGATTTTTCGCTCAAGGTATGTACATATATACATATATATATATATATATATATATTCAATGTTGTATTAATTGAATTCATACTTTTTCAGGAAGCTATCAACGTTCGGTGGGACAAGACTTCTTACTTAATGTATCCCAAAGCAGCGCCAGTTGCGTTACTGAACATAGATGAATCTATAAATGGCGAGGCTGAAACAATGCGCTTTGGTGCTACTACCTTCGGCGATCCTGCATCATCTAGCCCACTTGATTGTATAAACTTGGAGCCTGAAGAATATCCAAGTAATGATGCAGAGAATCAGCCACCGAATGCTATCCCCACTACACCACCGATTGTTATTGCACCCCCGAATCGCGCACGCTCACTACCTCTCGGCAAAGACAATTTGCTAAAACTGCAAGTGGAAAACCAATGCCAATATCACGAAAATTCGATGAAAAAGCTGGACGAAGTATGTGATAATTTAAATGGTTTAAGTAGACATTTTAAGAGGAATGTTGAGCTCGAAGAGGCTAAACTTCAACTAAAACGAGAAAAATGTGAATTTTTCAAAAAAAAAAATTAAAAAAAGAAAAGAAAACTGAAGTTAAAAGCACTGAAGCTAAAAGCTAAACTTTGTAAATAGTTGATTTAAGTGTAGTTATTTTTACGAATTCATATTTTATAAGTTTTTTGTTCCTTTGAAGACTGATGAATTGTTTTTTAAGTTATTTATATTTTAAATAGCAGATTAAGGTACAGCAGTTGCTTAGTTGTATTAATCAAAAACAATTAATATTTTTTATTTTTATAATAATTTCTAATCCAAGCAATCAATGAATTAGTTGTATGTAATTTTTTGTTGAATTGTTACCTGTGAATGAAAAGGCTAATGAATATTTTTACATTTTTTTTATATACCAATGAAACTAAACTATATTTTGTGTCTTAGGTTCATAGAAATGTTTTACATATGTAATTTTATAAAATGAAGACTGAAAAATTACTTTTATTTTATTTATTTATTGTTGATATTTTACAATATTCGCAATGTTATTAATTCCGAAACTTTTTTAATACATTTTATTAAAAAAGTAAAGCTGATTATCTAACAGAAATCATAGAAATCTAAGTTGTAAACTTGTGTCTAAATTAGGAAAATATCAACAATTTTCATACAAATAGCCAATTTTTTTACTAAAATTTCTTGACAAAAATTTGGCCTGTTAAACTTAAATATAATGTGGAAGTTCGAAGTCCATAAAAAATTCCGTTGATTTTTGATAACTTTCTTTGCTGACAGTGTTGTGCATTTTCTTCCATATAAAAAATATACTTTGTATGGAAAAAAATGTCCAAGACCGTCAGCAAAGAAAGTTATCAAAAATCAACGGAATTTTTTATGGACTTAGAACTTCCACATTATATTTAAGTTTAACAGGCCAAATTTTTGTCAAGAAATTCTAGTAAAAAAGTTGGCAATTTGTATGCAAATTTGTTGATATTTTCCTAATTATGGCACAAGTTTACAACTTAGATTTATACGATTTCTTTTAGATGATCAGCTATAATATTTTAAAATATTTACAAAAAAGTTTCAGAATTAAAAACATTGCGAATATTGTTAAAATATCA